GGTGTTTAATTGAGGCCTGACAGGTTCCTCCGATCATTAGACAGCTGGAACCTGGAGCCTGGGACTCGCCCATTGACTGATAAGGAATTATTGGATGCCATGGAACCTGGGGCCTGGGACTCACCCATTGACTGATAAGGAATTATTGGATGCCATGGAGTTATTTCCCCGCACTACCGCAGGCCCCCTCAATTTTGTATTGGTTTGTTGGTTGAATTTGAATTGGTTTTAATAAAGTGTGGTCCATATTTAAATCCAAAGAATTGTTGTCTTGTGTTTTCATTTTGGGGCATAGGGGAGCAATGGACGACGTGGGTCAAACTTGCCCTTCGCCGCTGTGACCATTCCAAAAATGAACTAAAGCACTTGAAAGCAGCGCAGGAAATTGAACATCCCATGGGCAGTGCCCTATCCATATTAAAAAGGTCCTCAAATTAAAAACCCAATAACTCAAAGTCATCTGGGTGAACTGGCAGCAAACGAAAAGCTGACATAATGTCAGCTTTCCCAAGCTCGTCCCCATTACCACGGGCCTGAACCGTACATATTGCCGCATCAAAGGACCTGTACCTAACCGTACACAACTCCTGTGGAATCATGTCATTGACCGATTCCCCTTCAGGATCTGATAAATGATTAATTAAACAAAAACTCCCCTGGCGTCTTTTTTGGGATGACCCCCAAAGGGCAGATGCGTAAATTTAGAACCAGAGGCTCCATGATGGGACCAACTATCCTCCCTTCATTCACCTCTTTCTGAATCTTCCATCTCACTACGTCCTCCATACCTCTGACAGACTTTAAATTACTAGCCAAAGTTGCAAATCTATTACCCTGCACAGGGCTTCTGAATCTCACTGTAAAGCCACTTAACAAATAACTAGCGGCTTCACGATCAGGGTAAAGCTGCAGCCAGGCCTCCAGTACTGCCACATTAATTGAACTGGGGCCCTTTTGCAGACGGGGCTGGTCCCACGGTTGGCCTCTTTGGTTCACCTCCGTCTTTGCCTCTGCCTGCTCCGGGGCGACCTTGGAAGCAGGATATGGTACTGTGATTGCCGCCACATAAGGAGAACACATGCTGGAATCTGCATGGCTTACGGTTGCAGAAAACCTTTCGGTTGAACTCCCAGCAAATCAGGCGGGGTTGAATCCCCTGGCCCACTGAAACACGGGGAGAATTCAGAGTAACCTGGAATGGAATCTGCATGGCTTACGGTTGCAGAAAACTTTTTGGTTGAACTCCCAGCAAATCAGGCAGGGTTGAACCCCCTGGCCCACTGAAACACGGGTAGCTGACCTCTGAATCAAGTGCCCACTGTCAAAACACATCTGGGGGTTAATTGCAGCCATCATCCTAAAACCCTGGTCGTAAAGCAACCAAGTGGGACCTGGAAAGTCAATCTGCATGGCTTACGGTTGCAGAAAACTTTTTGGTTGAACTCCCAGCAAATCAGGCAGGGTTGAACCCCCTGGCCCACTGAAACACGGGTAGCTGACCTCTGAATCAAGTGCCCACTGTCAAAACACATCTGGGGGTTAATTGCAGCCATCATCCTAAAACCCTGGTCGTAAAGCAACCAAGTGGGACCTGGAAAGTCCACATAAGCTCAATAAATAAGGTCAAGATATTGCAGAAGGGCTAAGGCCCTGTCTGGGTATGCTTTAAATATGGTGCCAGCATAAATTAAGAAACCTGGCAGCCAATTAGCCCAACATCTATCTGCCTTCTTCTTCTTGAAACACTCTTTCTCCCTTTCCTCCTCCTTGCTGCCTGCCTTCTCTTCAATCTCTCTATTTAAAAGCTCGAATACTTTTATACTTGATCCTGCCACCTTCACACGCATGTTTGATGGAGAAACAAGAAAATGCCTTTTCTGTTGCTTCTCCGAGACTTTGGAACTCCTCCCCACAAGAGGCCAGACTGCTATCCAACTGCAAGCAGGCAAAGACCCTTCTATTCAGGCAAACCAGCTATCTGTGTGTGATTTTTAGATAGATTGCTATGCATTATTACTTAAATTGGATTTTTTAGTACTACTTGTGTTTTCCATTTTTATGTTTTCCATTTCTCATAGTGGCAATTTTTTAAAAAAAAAAGTATACTTATTGCTCTTTACCTTAACATTGCCTGTTAATTATGTAAGATGCCTCTTTATTATTGTTTGCAGTTGTAGATATTATCTTTTAATGATGTTAACCACTGTTGCATAATCATTGTTTTCAATTAAAAAAAAATTTTTTTTTCATTGTTGTAAGCTGCCTTTGGTCCTTATCAAGGAGAAAGTCAGGGTAAAAATATTTCAAATAAATAAATACTGTAAAATATGGTTGGGTACATAAAGGGAGGGGGAAGGGCGCGAGTGAGCATACACATTAATAGCTCTTCTTTATCCAAATCTATTAAAGTCTCAACTGAAAAGAAAGCTCTTTGCCTGCCAATGGAAGGACAACAATGAGAGGGCCAACCTGGCCACTTGGGGAAGGGCATCCCACAGCCTATTTTTCAAAGAGTATACGCTGTTTAGGAACAGCCCATTCTCTGGAAGTGTTCTGGGCTCCACAATTACACTGTAATGAGCCAGATATTCAACAGTGAGACCATTTTTATATACAGAGAGGGTTATGCATTGTAATACTCAAAGGGATGTATTGCTTTCCTCGCCTGGCGAATTAACATTTCTATTCCAGCCACTTTTACTTGCTAAGTGTTTGGTGTTTTTTTGTCAGGTTGTTTTATCTATGGTTTCTGATTTCTGTGTTTCTGTGGGCTCTGAATTCTTACCTGTGTTGTGTTTTTTAATTCTTTTTAACCGAATGTTGGTTTCATATTGTATTATGGTTTTAAACTGTTGTGAGCTGCTTTCTGGTCTGTGAAAAGAAATAAGAAGATGAATTAAGAATATATAAATAAATGTAAAGTGTTTGGTGTTTTCTCTCTCTCTCTCTCTCTCTCTGTGTGTGTGTGTGTGTGTGTGTGTTGACACTGAATATATAAAGTTAACATCTGAGCGGAAGAATTATAAAAGCACAATAAACAATATAGCCTAAATCCAATTATGACTTCCAGCTCAAGTAGACCCACTGAATCAATGGAACCTCTATAAATGTTGTCTTACCAAGGTCCGATTCATTCAGTGGATTTATTCTAGCTAGGAATAACAATTGGATGTAGGCCTATATCTGGGTTCTGCTGTATAAGAAAGACATCTGCTGTTTATCTCAATAAAAGTAAGTTGATTCAATTTAATTGATTAATACATACGTTTATGTGTGGAACAATTAACACAGCTTTTCAGATATTAATCATTTTATAACCCACTGTTTATCTGACATTTTGTCAGACAGGTTCTGACCTTTACCATGTAGAAAGGTATAATAGGAAAGCAAGTTTCTAATTAGAGAATAAATGTTGTTTATGCCTTTTCTTAACAGTACCATACCAACTAATGTATTAAAGGACAGTGTTGTTTTGAAAAACTCTCTGAAGCTTAGTATATGTTTCATGATCTAAGACAGCATACCTCCTATTAGAAAAATATGGAGCACACATTTTTGCTGCCCTGTACAATTAGTCTGGTCACCTAATGGCTGCCATCAAGAAGATCTTTCTTTCCAGCTAACTAGCCAGACAGTCCAGGTTCAGGCTGTCTCATCTATAGTAATGAGTGCAATATGTGGACAGCTGGCACAGCAGTGGGTTCACATGTAACAACAGCAATTATATAGATTTATATGCATTACCTTGATGGTAGCCTGCTATAGTAAGAATTGGAAAGATATAAAAAGGAGAAAGGGATATTTTAAGAACTTCTTTACCATCTTGCTCTGCTTTTCTCTCTCTTTAGAATTCTTATTTAGGAAAGCCGATTCTTTAGGAGTCTATTCAGGGTTCAGCAATCCTACTTTATAGTGTCATAATAACAAAGGCTTGAGATTGAAGGACAGAGTACACCAATATGTACACTAAAACAGACACAAAAACTGGGTATAGAAGATCTACTGGTCACAGGTTTTTTTTAAAAAGTGATCACATTTTGGGGGGTGGGCCAAACTTTTTTAGTACTACTCCCATTTTCTGTCCTCATTTTACAGGTGATGAAACTGGCGTGACATTTCATGAACTTTGGCAAATGGGGAGGATAACATGGAGGATGATCTCAAGTACCTACTCAGTAACAATTTGGATTTGGGATGGGTTCCCCCTCTTCAATTCCCTGGCAAAAACATTATATTTTTATGTAGCGTTCTTCTGATCACTGTGTAGTGATTGACACAGGGATGCAGCCATTAGTTGAATGAAGTTCAGGGGAGCGCATGTGACTATCATCCTCTTTCCTTGAAATTCCCGCTTCAAATTGCAAAATACAGAAAATGGTCCCCTATCCCAGAACATGTTCTGTTGAAAAGTCTTCATTAAAAACTTTTGGTCTAGTCTTATATTTTACTACACACCTAGGGCTATGATCCAGTATTAGGAGACAGTGCTCTGGGATTGAAACATTGTTATGTTCTGTTGACTACATAATGTAAAAGTTAATGCAAATCAGACTGGCATTTCACCCCCAACATAAATTAGGGATGAGTAGAGTTTTTTTCCTCTACCATTGGGGCTTCTACTTTTTTGACAGTGAATGTATTCACATCAGTTCAGATGGTGTGATCCCTTTTGTTGATGGGATGGGGGGTGTAACAGCCACCCTCACACTTCACAGAGTGGTTGCTACTTTACTGTAAAATCTCTGCTGCCACCAACTTATCCTTAAAGAATCATAAAAGGACAAGTGTAACTTTGAAAACAAATAATGGGTTTATTGATTACAAGAAATAAAAGTAGTAAATCACAGTTGTAAAATCAATTAATCAATCACTGTTTCTCAGACACTAGCTCTTACAGACTTTTCCTCACTGATAGGCTCTCTTACTAACAATCACTTTTAAAATCTCATCTCAATCTATCTCTCAAACTGAAAACTCAAATACCATACACACCCCTTTATATCGCAGCTCCTCCCCCTTTAGCACCACCTTCCGTCCCCTCATTGGCTGCTGTTCCACTGCCCAGCTGTGATGGACAGGTGAGGGCAGGGCTGAACGTTACAGGGGGTTGTAGTTGTTCTGTTTCAAGCCATTCCACCTGGCTACAACAGCTGTGAGAGAGTCCAGGCTGGAGAAAGTGGTTGTCATTTGAATCCTCTCCTTACCAAATCCGGTGCCTGGGTCTGCTTGTTTTCCTCACCCCTTTCCAGTCAATTTCTTTCTTCATTTTCTTTTAAAGTTTTGCTGTTCTAGCACTAGTGCAACTAGGTGTCCAAAGGGAAAGAGGAGAGCAGGAGAGAAATGCAAGTTGTCAATCATCCTTTCCCACCCCCCAGCTTGCTATGGTAGTTTTGCTATAACTGTACCTCCAGCAAATCTGGATGGTCAGAGAAGAACTACCTCAACAAGCTGCAAACAAAGCTGATTACCAGTTTCCTCCCTTTTCTCCATTGACTCCTGTGTAGCTGGCTGAGGCAAATTAACACAGGGAAACCAAACTTCCCAGGTGCAATGTCACAGCAGATCAATTTACCTTCCCCTCCACTATATAGTTACACCCTTTGATGCATTGAACACACACACTCTGAGCAAGCATAGATGAACTGGATGATTGCACAACAAGAGACTAGTAACACACTCAGTGTTTCAGATTGTTAAATAAAGCAGCAGTGATACTAATTCATGGAAGCTTGCTGCATTTGGGCACAGTAACAGCACTCCTAAGCCAACTACATCAGAGCACAGAGTGCTGTCCTCTAAAGATGCTGGCCACAGAGACTGGTGAAACATTAGGAAGAACAACCTTCAGAACACGGCCAAAGAGCCCGAAAAACCCACAACAACCATTAGATCCCGGCCGTGAAAGACTTCGCGAATACACAGTAACAGCAGTTTTGCAAAAATCACCATTATTGACAATGCAAAAACTCTATTTGAAGTTTAGGAAATTTGCTGCAATCCTTGCCAGCAAAAACTAAGATGTTGTAGAGCTTCATCCTCCTACTTAAAGACAATGAGCAAGAATTACATTTCCATTGGGGACACAATTCTTCTGAAATGTAAATTGTCAGCATTGATTGAGTCTCACAGTGAATGAATCACTGGTAAGTGTGCAGGTTTTATCAATCTGTACTGGTATGAAGAGATGACAGGGAGTCTCTACTTCTTTGTCTGTTGGTATATTCACAAAATCTGTTGGTATTTCAGAGACCTGTTATTGCTTTTACTGAAGCACATAGACTCATCAGTTGGTGTGAAGAAGAGGCATAGAGAAACATTATAGATGGGGAGCACTAATAAAAATGTCAAACTACCAGTTTGGCACTGTAGACAGAGTGACAGATTAGGACCTAGGAGACCTGGATTCAAATCCCTTTTCAGCCATGTAAATTCACTGGGTTATGTTTTCACTAATGAAACCACTCCTTAAACATCTCACATATCTTAAAAACCCAATTCTGGAGATAACAAATCAGATGTAACTTAACAGTAAAAAACAAAAATGTCATCTGAGGTCAAGTTATATGTAATCCCTATTGGTTGAAGGAAATAATTCACTCTGTGAATAGTTATCAGTAGATGACGGTATCCTGCAGACCGTCTTGACTGCTGTCATTGGTGTTGTCAAAATTCAGGCTGCCCTTTGCTCTGTAAAGCTTGGCAAAAAATAGAAGTTATTTTAAGAATTGAACTAGATAACTGAATATTGTTTACCTGATATAAATGATGCACTATATAAAAATGTCATCAACAAATGAACATTGACAAAACTAAAGGGCTTTTCATCCTTGACAAAGGAACATGTTGTTTGCTTCTCCCAGCCTTCTTCATAAGTTGAATCAATGTCGAAACTCACTTGCTGTGGTTTCTCACGGTGTAAAGATGGAGCCCAGTAAGAACGAATCAGAGATCCAGTCAATATCTGTATTCTGTTACTGGCGATAGTGTGCCATGATCAGAGAGAGGGAATGAACAAGATTCACTATGTAGCAGTGGTTGTCCTCAGGCAACGAGTAGTTCAATAAATAATCGGGATGGTTTAGGCAAGTGAATCAAGGCAGTGCAAAGAAAGGTGAAATGCCTTCAGGGCTGTTTATCTGTCAGACCTGCAGGATAAAGTTTCTTGACCTTAAATGAACCTATCATGCAAATTCAGCGTGCAAACCAACTCACCCATCACCTTAATTCTCTTATCATCACATATTCTGCCTACATTTATTATCATCCCTACAGCAGGCAGGGATTGCGTGGAATCCCACTGAGCAGTTTCAGGACCCTTTGTCAAATGTCTTTTTTGATTTCCTCAAAATTCCTCAGATCTTTTCTCAGGCAGGAACCTCCAAATTTGCCTTAAAGCTTCCTTTTAGTCTAAATTCAGAGCTAGTATGGTACTGTGATTAAATGACCAAGCTGTGACTCAAAATGTCTACAGTTTAAATTTCACTTCTACCATGAACTATACAGCCTTAGTAATGACCAACTCTCTTACACACCAACTGAAATTTGGGGTTTGTGTGTGTGATCATAACATTTGCCTTCTAAGGAACAATCCAAACAAGATTGTCTTATACGTAAATAAGTGCTCTTCTCATCCAAAGATTTATCCAAACAAGATTGTCTTATACGTAAATAGTGTACTATAAGTGCTCTTCTCATCCAAAGATGCTATATAAATACAAACATTGCTAAGGAATGCAGTGACAAATCATTGATGTATTATCTCTTGTGAAATGTTACTTCAGGCAAACCTTGCAGCAACTCTGAAACATAGTGGAGAAGGAGTCAGAGTATGTGAAAGGATAACAGTAGGAGAACGGGGTAAAAAGAGCAAC